CATGTTTTCGTAGGCCACACTGACATTTTCCTCCCTTATCTCAGGTTTCCTCCTGTAGTCCCAGATTTACTAAACGTCCGTGGGTGGTTGGCGGGTGCTCTGGTGTGGTTTAATGCTCCTTCTCATCTATTGTTCTTATTTTCCACTCCTTCTTTATTGTGTTTGTTACTCTCTTGTAACACCTCTGATCTTCGGCACTAATATGGCATTATTGTGTTGCAAGTGCCGTAAAACACTTATTAAAACATACTAGATATCCCCCCCCCCTTTTCGTGTCAAAATATAATATTATGCCGAAAGACCTGACATGAGACGTGCTGTTTATAAATTATGGCGCACAGTCGAACCTGCTCCTGCAGCCACCTGTTCAAGACAATCACCTGTACACTTTCCACTTTCCTTGCGTTTTTTTAGAAGGTTCTTATATAGGGCTGACATTAGTGTAGGCGAACTTGGATTAATGTTAGCTTATTGAGAATGATATACATGTAATACGATAATGCAGAAAATTGAGAAATCGTAAATGATAAAGACAGATGTAAGAAGTGATGAGGTATGAAACGACTTTAATTGACAGTCAAGTTGCGAAATGCGAAATTGTATAGAGGTGTCGCACCTTTTTTCAGCGTTGTAATACTATTTAAGAGATTATAGGACCTTCGAATTCAACGTCTCCCCGACAGCACCGAGCCAAATAGATGGAGAGCCTTAAAACTTCCCGAAACAACTCAAGTTCAGAACACCGTTTTGGGGATTAGACCCAGGGCCATCCGCTTCGTAGTCCAGCATGATGCCAAATGAGCAATCAGCGGGCCCGGATCAAGTTGAAAGGAGAAAAGAAAAAGCTTACAGTGGGCTTCAAGATGTTGAGAGTGGGTGTTCGTTGGGCGCCACTGGTTGGCCCCACTTCTCTCTCTCTCTCTCTCTCTCTCTCTCTCTCTCTCTCTCTCTCTCTCTCTCTCTTCCCCACCCCCTCCCCGAATCTGTGACGTCGCAGGTAGTCCAGTGGTTAGGATATCGGAGTCGTAATCGCGAGCTTGCAGGTTCGGGGATTCGAGGCTAAGCTCAGGTGGGAATGGGTACCTGGTGTTTCAAAACGAAAGATTTTTTAAATCGGTGTTTAAGAGTTCAATCGACTTCTTCAGCTGTATGTTTTCTCGGAAGCCGAGAGTCTTTATTGTTTGTGTAAGCCTAATTGTATCAACCTACAGATAAGTGAGTTTTACAACCGGACGTGCAATGTTACAAACTTTTATACTGACCAAACAATGTAAAAGCCAAGATTTGACCTAAGAAGCTGGAACAGCCATATATTTCTTTTCATCCTAATATCTCAAGTAACCTTTTTATGTCGGTCGTTCCACTCTAAATTTTAGTTTAATATTTTTGTGTTTGCCTAGTTGTAACAACCAACACACAGTATGTGTGTTAAAAATCGGGATTTGCGCAAACACTTTTGAAATGACAAAACTGTGAAAAGTCTGGATTTGGTCTTAGGACTTGGACCCAGCCTTATTTATCTTTTCATAATAATAATGGAGGTAACTGTCATGTCGGTTGATACACTCTCAGTTTTGGTTATAATCTATTTATTTTTGTGTATACCTAGTTGCAACAACCAATGCACACGTGTGTTTTAAAACTGGATGTGCAATTTTACAAGCACTCTTATACAGAAACTATGTAAAATCCTAGATTTGATTTGAAAACCTGGAACCAGCCTTGCATGTATTTTTATCCTAATAACGGAAGTAACTTGTTATGTCGGTCGTTACACCCTCAGTTTTGTTTTTATTATTTTTGTGTATGCCTGGTTGCAGCACGGACGACCACCTCCAACCCAGCGCGTCACATGTGCCGGATTGTGGACGATCTCCAGATAGGGAGGTTAGCTTGCAGCGAATACCCAATTAGCTGCGGACCAACTGGCAATGAAGACAGAGGGCGAGGCTGGGTAGTTTTAGTTGTTCTGCTACTGTTATTAAATGACTCGGCATTCGGCATGTCTAGCGAAGGGGTCATCAGGCGAATCGAGGCGTCCATAAATGATCTCTTACCCTCAGCTATGAGTCAAATACATATGTACATGTATTAAGGGTGTCTAGCTACTTGGTGGATGAGAGATTCATCTGTCCAACAGAAGGACAGATGATGATGTTTTATCCTAGATGGCCATCAGACACCTGTGTGTTGTCCCCTCCAGGAGCTAAGGAAACCTATAAGGATATTCCTCTGGAGGATAACAATGGAATTACAATCTGTCTCATGAAACTTCACTTGTTGCTGAACTGGCACACTGAAGACATAACCTTGTAAATATTTTTGTAAGAGGGGAACATTTCAGGTGCAAATATATTTCACAGTCAACAGCCGAGAGGCTCCTTTTTGAAAACAAATAAACTTTCAGAACTCGAAAACCATGCTCCAAACAACAAAAGAAGGCTTGAACAACAGAACAACAATATAATTATGTTACTTTGAAATATATAACACACTTGTGTTTTTGTTCAAATTGTCAAAGTTTGCCTTGGTGACCAACCCAGAGTGAAAGTCTGGGAAGCAAGTTTAGTCCACAACGACGGGAAGAAACCAACTCCTGCTGTACATGTTTTTAATTTTTCAACAATGCTTCTTTTTATGTTTAAACGGAGGGGGGGGGGGCAGGGCATGGCCCTGGGACTATAGGTTCGAGGTCATTTTCATCAGTCATTATCACTGATCACTATTACATGTATTTGTTTCATTTATACAGTTCGTTTAGGGGACTCTCGTGGCTAGAGTCACCCCTCATTCAATAGGTCCTGGGTTCAAATCAGGAGAGCGACGGAACATTATCCTCTCTAAAATGTATTCCTTTCACATACCTTCCTGCTCTCTAAAAATGTTCTGCCGTCTGCTTTCGTCTTCACTTTTTGCCTCCACCCCTCACCTCCTTTGCCCCCTCGTCTTGGCCCCTGGCCCTTTCTGGAGCCTGTCTACTGCTACTCGTTGGCTTCTTCTTACTGCCATGCTGTATCTTGGCCACACCCCTGAACTTATTGTAGAGAAGATCTTCACCTAGCTTTCTCGAATAAGGGCGAAAAATCTCGGAGGTCCCGTATGCAAGTTGCGCATGTTAAAGATTCCTTGGTAGTCCAAAATTGATAAGAGTAGACTTCAGCCACCACCCTGGCAAAATTCAAAATCTCCTGCCAACTGAAAATGTTTAATGTGTCCCACACGCTCTCATATGACCTTATGCAGTTGCGAGCACCGAAGACACTTAGCATAAAAAGCAACAACAAAAAACAACAACAACCAACAAAACAATAACAACAAACAAACAACCCCCCCCCCCCAAAAAAAAAGTTCGTCCACTATTATTCCCAGATCTAGCACAAAATTCACTGTCACTAATCCCTACAGCCTTCCACTTGCTTCTACTTAACTCTGAACCCTCTCTACATTAGTCTATGTAACTGTTGTCCCCTTTAGCACTAGATAGAAAAGTCTAGATCGAACCCCTCATGGACATATTGATGGGTCCATCATTTCGAAAATTTTACAATATCGTTCAGTTGCCATTTTGACCAAACTGATGCGCCACAGGTTGTTCAGTTTTTTAAAAAGTCAATTTTATTTTAAGGGAATATGTTGGTGGGAAATCGGGATGAATATCGAATTTTCATCAAGTATTCAATTTTGAACCATTTCTACACGTCGTCATAATAATATTATTATGGTCAGTTATACTAAAGAAAGTTCTCTTCCTGAAATAAATTGCCCTTGAAATGTGTACACTGTAGGAATAGATCAAGGTCTTTCCACGTGTGTTTTACTGAAAAACACATAAACTGAACCAAGTGACGTCACAATTCAAACAACACATTGCATCCTTCCACAAGGTGTTTGTTATCGTTGTTAAGCTCATTTTCCGCCTTTTGCATTTCCTGAATAATACCACGCTTGAAGACGTGAACAAAATAATTGAGAAGTTGTGAGTAAATATGACTTTTTTGGTCGTTTTTTTGTTATTTTCTCATTTCACAAATTTTTCTACAGAAATTCGTACCATTCAATTATTTGTGCACCAAATTGGATGAAACTTTGTACTCAGGTCTATTATGATGTTGTGAACATTCGTACAACAGGAACAATTTTTATTGGAAAGTACTTTTTAAGAAATATGTTTTTAACAAACCTACCCTCTTAAATTGTCATTACAGTGGGTACACTAAAGTGAAGAAGCCGTAAAAGTTTTGAAATTGCTTTAATTGAAAATCCTTGTTGTACGAATTTAGATCTTAGTTTGTTTTATATCCTGGCAAAATTTGAATAAGATTGGTATACAATTAATTGAGCAATAAACTTCTCATGCAATTGATGAATTTTCGTCATTTTGCGACCATTATTTGACCCTGTCGGCTGATACGCAAATGTGAGTTTTGAATCTTTTTTCTCAATCCCTATCCCACCAAATGTGTAATTTCAATGTTAAGCCAAGTATGGAAGATCCTCATTTCAAGATAGAAATTTCAGCAGCATTGTCCCTAAAAATTTAGTTTTCAAGGGACGTAACGCAGACAATTCTCAATCATTCCAGGAAGGGCAGCAGTTACATACCCTCAAAGACCAGGCCTGAAATGCGTCGGTTTAACAGCAATAATCAAGGCGGACTCGCTCGACATCTTGCAAGTCACAGACAAACCGAAGAAACGAAAGACAGACGATAGCTAAGCTGACCGATTAAAAAACCCAAAAACAAAGCAGAGACTTGATCTGATATTTGTTTGTTATTGGTCTTGTTGTTGTGGTTGTTGTGGTTGTTGTTGGTTTTTTTTTTAGTTCTCTGCGCTCCTTGATCTAACGTTTGAAGTCTGAGATGACTGAGTATAAAAGAAAGATTGATAAAACTATTTTTATTTCCCCTTTCATGATTGGCACTATGCATGACCAGATCCAGTGTGCCTTGTTTGTGTTTCTGTAGTAATGATGAATTAATAAAAAACCACACGAAGCGCTTTTGTAGAAGTTTTATAAATTCTCCTCATATCATTGTAGCAATGTTGTGAAAATGGTGAGATGGTATGGGTATAGCGCTCCTATCAACATTATTTGGTTATTTAAGAGGCGGGACTTCTGAGTTTAATGTCCACCCCCGAAAGAAACAAGCCAGATCGGAAATTCGTGTAAAATGTCATTCCCAAGGACACAACGTCGGACCAGGCTGAGACTCGAACCATCGAAACCACAATTTCACGATTACGGTTCCGGTAGCTTTACCACTGGGCCTGGTCATGTTGTGCTTTGTAATTCTCTTAATAAAGCGATATTGCTATGATAATATTATGAAAGTATCTGAGCCACTGACACCTTAATTCTATACATTTTGTTTGACCAGAGCGTGTTGTAATAAGATCTTAAGATTGATTTTTGATGACGTACCCTTTTTTTGTCCTGCATCAGCTTTGTGTGAAACAGCCCCATATGTCAGCTATATGTCAATCTTTTGTTCTCTATGCTCATAACAGTCTGAAATGACTGAACACGAAAGAGAAGTCAATAAAACTATTGAAATTAGGAATGGAATGTGCTCATTAAGTGAGTCTGATGAAAGCTCATCTTAGTCTATATCCAAAGAAAAAGCGGGCATAGCCCAGAACAGGGTTGCCTTAAAAAATATGATGCAATTCACCTCTTTATAGATAAACTGTTCAAATATTAAATAAATAGATCTAAATCAATAATCATCAAGCTAATCACTCAGTCACTAAAAGTCAATTATCTCTTAAGACAATTTTGACCTTTATTAAATAATACATGACTTATCATAACTATGATAACCAATGAATACAATAAATCAATTATCTTATTTAATTTACACCGTTTCACCTCATCGCAGCGCAGCATTTAGCAAACTAGACTAGAAATATGGATCCAAGAAGACTAGCTTTTCAAACTCAATATGTACATAGAAAGGTGCTTGTCACTCTAATAACAATATAACTCAAAATGAGAAAAATATTCTTAAAAAACCCCCATTACATTTATTAACCGAACTAGATCATCTTCATCCTTCTCAACAGGATCACTGAGACGTACATTTCTTATTCTGCATTAAAGTCCCTTATCTGGGCTTTATTCTTTATGCCATGCATGCATAGTCGTAAAGAATTCTGGTGTGTTGGGGGAGTTGGGGCTCAGGGCACATCTTGCTACAACCAAAGAAAGAAAAAGAAAATAAATACCAAAGCTGAGTTTTCAACAGGAAATACGTTAGCAGAAAAAAATGAAATACTGCACAAAGTGTGACTGTGATTGTCTGAGAAAAATAAATTGTCAGTTAACTTACACTAATTCGGTTGGTTGTTCTTGCAGAATAATCAGTTGGAAGTGGAGCTGAAAGAAAAAGTCATGCTTTGTAGTAACAAATTTTACTAAAAAAGAAAAAATAACAGCAGGTTTAGGGTTTAGTAAAAGCTTTCCACCACTGAGAAGTCTAAGCCTCTCATAGGGTATAGCCACAGTCAGATACATTGTATGTCTTGGCTTCTGGCACAGGGGTAGGGTTTCCTCCTCGGCTGTACCTGTTGTACACCTCTGACATCACTACTTGGCCAAACTTCACGAGAAACTGATTGGATGGAAACATCTGTAACTTGACCTTTCTCGTCTCTGGGAACTGGTTAAGAATTTCTCTGTTCGGGACAAAAATAAGATGTCATGCAGGGTTTTCAAAATTGTTCTTCTTCAAATTTACCATAATCTGTGTTTGTGATAATGGTCACCAGTTTTTCATTTAACTTTGAGAGTTATTACATTAGGGAACAGCTTGTTATTTTGCAAACAAATGAAACTGCTGAAGCACCGGATTGGTGGGTTTCTTTAGCCCAAAAATGCAATTATGAAAGAACAAAGTTTTCCACAGGAATGCTTTTTAAAAAGAAAGCATAGCAAAACGTGTTGAAGAGACAGGCAGAAAATAATTCAATTTTATTTTACCCCTTTTTTTGTAGTGTGCTAAACTCTAAAACTATTTTAATATGTATAACTAAAAGCCAAAATTGAGTACATTCGTGTTTCATCCAGCTATTCGATTCTTGATCTATACAAATACATGAAAGTTCCAGGTTCGAATTTCTGTGCTGTAGGAATTAGTATTGTTTTTTTTCTCGGAATATTTCCTCTGAGTTTAATGTCCTTCCAGAGAAAAATAAGTTCGAGGAGGGGAGGCTGAAAGATATGGAAGAGATAAAGGGATAAGTGCTCAGGTTTTAAGAGAAGAGGGTTGTTTTGTGTTTTTTCTTTTAACATTATCCAAAAAGTGTCGAAGGGCTCATGCTCGAGTTTCAAAGTTTCAACAGAGAAGGAATATGGTGTGAGGCACGACTGTGTGTGTGTTTGTGGGGGGGGGGGGGGTTGTTAGAAGAAATAAAGGATAACTAGTAGGATTCCAAGATGACAGACTCTGATCCTCCAGACTGCTTGGAACATTACACTCATGCAAACAAAAGCAAAAACAAAAAGCAAAAAGATTATCTCAGAGCAATATGAAGATCATGTAACACAAAACTCACCTGAACAATAAGGTGGCAATGTCATCTGAATCTGCAAACAATCCTTCTAGAACAATTTCCTCTCTCTTCATTAAGGCAGATACGTAACCCACACATTTTTTGTTCAACTTTCTCCTTGCCACGAGCACTTTGGTACATCTCGCTACCACCGACGCATGCGCATTATTACCATAACCACGCATGTGGTTGTCAAATTGAATAAACTCCTCTAGATTGGCTTCGTCAAAAGGTGCGATAGAGATATCGTCTGCCGCGTTACCCATCGTCTGCACTCTCCCTTCCACCAGCTGAACGTCAGCCAATATGTGACGGATTTCGTGACCTTGTTGGGGCTCTGACATCTGGAAACCAAGATTACTGAAATAAAGAAAGCACCCTTATCAGTGAGTTCTACATGAAATTGCAAATGATTCTGGAAGAAAGTATAAAGAGAAAAACCTCTTCTTCAAACTTATTTTTGAAGAAAAGAATGTTTCGTTGAAGAAAAGAATGTTTCGTTGAAGAAAAGAATGTTTCGTTGAAGAAAAGAATGTTTCGTTGAAGAAAAGAATGTTTCGTTGAAGAAAAGAATGTTTCGTTGAAGAAAAGAATGTTTCGTCGGCAAGTATGACTTCAATTATGCCATTGTGGTCTATTTGGTTGTTTTTGGTTGTGGCAGGGGGTTAGGCCTAGCCTAGTGTATTGTTTGGCTGAAAGTGTGAGAGTGAGTAAAGTGTGAGTCTCAGTTGAGTTGTATTGTTTGCAAGTTTATAAAAGCAATCTGGGTTACTACAGGTTAGATTTTAGAGGCGAGAGCTGTAGCAAGGCAGAGGAGGCCTGCTGAGAGTTCGGGTGGAGAAAAGGCTAGTTTGAGCCTCGGTTTGTTTCTGTGTAACGTGTGAGATTCCAACGCTGCTACCCCCTCTAGCTCAATGGCCGGCTTTGCCAGTAACTCATATCTCACTAAATGCGAAATTACTTCTCTTGCTCTCAGCTGTGACACGTCCACAAGAATGTCGTCCATATAAGAGCTAGTGGCTCTATCTATCCGAGGAGACTGTTCCAACACCGTCTTTAACACCCTTGTCATGATTCTTGGAGCGGAATTCAGGCCGAATCCTACCCTTGTCAAGCAATAAATTCTCCCCTTGTACTGCACCAACTGATGCTTCCAGAGATCTGGACTGACACGAAGTTGTAAGTATGCAACGCTAAGGTCCACAATCTCTGCCCCCCCCCCTTCAATCTTCCGCCACTCTCGCATCCTGTCTGCACAAACATTAATAAGTTCATTTCCTGTGTGGCACTCTACATACTTGTTCAGCTCACGGAAGTCTAGGACTGACCGGACTTTGTTTTTCGTAGGCTGCTCGACCGCCATCAACGGGATAATTCCGTCCACCTCCCCATCCCATGGCAGCAGTATTCCGTCCTCAATCCATTTATCAACCTCTTTGTTGAAAAGCTCCCTCGTTGCTCCCGGCATTCCATTGTCAATAGTGTCATACATGGCAACCTTGTTCCTCAACTCTGGGGCACAAACGTCCTTCCAAAAGTACCTAACTGTCCATACATTCCCATCGAAGGTTGCCTCAAAATCTTTGTCCTAGATGGTAAGTCCATCGGGCCTCTGCGTTACCTGTGCCGGAGACCCGCCCACGACTGCCACGCCACCTTGCCAAACTGTACAGTTTTGTCGCCAACAGTCACCCCCAAAACTTCTCTATGACATCCATTCCGATCACCACGTCGATACTACCAACGATATCATCAACCACAGTGGCTTGGGCTTCTACACACTCTCCAGCGATCTCAAGTTCAACTGGAGCAGTTCCCTTACATTTAACTACCCTCCTGTCGAATGCTTTGGTGTACCCCTCCCTTTTTCAGTCATTCACAAACCGGGACCTGATCATTGTATTAGAACATCCAGTGTCCACGAGCGCACAAAGCCGCCTGCCGTTGCTGTAGACCCTGATAATCGGTACACCCCGCACACCGCCCTTGGATGTAATTGTTGACCTGCCACTAGCACAGGTTGTCCCAGTCTCTGTACAATAGCCGCTCTTGACACCCCCTCCCCGATCTCCAGACTCGTTGACCTTGCATCGAGAGGGTATATGCCCCTCTTCCCCAGATAGGAAACAAACAAGTAGTCGTCGCCGTTCTTGACAATCCCGTACAAAATGTGGCCCACCGCACTGAAAACA